TTTTCAGAGACATTGAATAGAAGTGGGGGCTGTACACACGACACACCATACCACTGCAAAATACTGGTGAACGTTTGCGTAGTTGCGGACTTCCACCCACAACTCCTTTGTTTACGTGGCTGCGTACTCATATTTTTAATTTTATTTTTTAAAAATACTAAATTAATTTTTAAAGATATTTTTATGTTGTTTTGATATTATTATTATATATTTTTAATTGAAAATCATTTTACACTGTATTTTAATAAAATAAAAAAATATTACATTAATAATTTTTCAATTAAAAAAATATCTTACATTACATTATTAAACACACACCAACTCAAAATATTGTTATTTAAGCTCATGTGACTGTTTGTGAGGCAATAATAACACAAAAAAATAAAAAAGAATCAACAAAAACCTAAAGGATATAGGAAAAATATTGTAGATATGGGTGTTGATTGAAACACTGAAATGATGTTTTTGTCCTCCTAAAAAAAACCCAATGGCTTGACACTGAAGGCTATTATGGTATTTTCACATGGTTTACTAGACATTATAAAATTGACTAGGGTAGCTAGGTTTTTTCTAATTTTTTTTACAAAGTGTAATTCGAAAGCAAAAAAATTATTTAACTTGGTTTAGGTTTTTTTTTTTTAATTCTACTTTGTACAACACACTAAAATGACTCTAATGCCTTCAAAATCAAAATTTCATTAACTTGTCTAATAAAATATGGTATTTACTTGCCTGATGAATTTGAATGCAGATGGTAAAAAACAACATGGTTTAATCTCTCACATGAATGATGAGAAGCTTGATCGTATCGAGTGCTCAAAGCCTGTTGAGCCAGTAATGATTTCGACTCCATTGCCGAAGAGAAGTGGGAACAAAAGACCAAACAATGGCATAGACAAGAACAAAAGGCCAGCGAAGAAACCCGAAAGGGAGAAGCATAGAGACAAAGTTGCTGTTGAAGGTCAACCGAAAAGAACTCCGAAAAAGATGACAAGACTTTCAACTCAAAACGAGAAGAGGAAGTGTGTCAAAAAAGTTACGACACCGAAAAGGAAGTATGTTAAATAAGCTCTTCCTATTGGAAGAAGCCAAGAGAGTTCAGTGACGGAGGATCATAAAGAAGTTGCTGAAATACCCAAGACGGAAAATCTGCCAGTTGATGACAAAAGGATGGCTATGGTTAGTAATGTCAACCGTGACTTGAAAGATGAACAAGATGGCTATGGTTAGTAATGTCAACCATGAGTTGAAAGATGACAATAGATTGGGAATAGATTCAACTATGCAAGCTGGCATGGATAACAAAAGTGGGGCAATGGTTTTGTTAAATGGTTTTGACTTGGGGTTCGATTCGAATCAGAATGAACTAAGATGGAATGTTCGTGCATTGAGGTCTGTGGGAGAGTATTGGCCGAAACCTGGTTGTCATCAATACAATGCTTTACTGGCATATAAAAGGATATTTAAAGTACACTACTGTCTCAGTAATAGCAGAAGGGTTGTGCCTCGTGTTCCTAAAAGATGCATGAAAAAAAGGATGAAAAGGAGGCGGAAACTGAACATGTTCAGTACTTTAGGGTTGTCCGATCAGTTTAGGGGCCATGTAAGAAAGAAAAGATCTGAGATGTTTACTCGAAGAGTCGATTTCACTTCTCTCATTGCAGGATTCGCAGAGATAGATGAGGTTTTAGTGAGAGCTCCTCGGGATAATATAGCTGCTCTTGAAGAACAAGAACTTCAAATAACAGACAAAGTAAAGGGAGAAAACCTCGAAAGTCTAACAGTGGACTGCATTGAGGTTGGGCTTTCTCTTGAACAAGCTCCAAACAGTGAAGTTAATGGAGTCCAAAGTACAAAGCTTCTCTGAGATGGTACCCGATGCTGCAAAACCACAGTTTCAGGACAGTAAAAGCAAAAAACGGGAGTAAAAAATGATGAATCAAATCACTGGCGAATCAATAAAAGGTACGTTTTCTTCCCTCTCCTCAAATCTTTAGCGTGATGCTACTGTAAATTGTTTATTTATTTTTTAAGCATGCATTTTAACCGTTCATAGAAGTTTCAGAATTTTGTGCAAGTAAAAATCTGTCATCGATAAGAATCGAAACTTATTGACATATCAAAGCAATTTTCCTCTATAGAGGAAACTAGCAAATAGCGTGCTGAAAAAGCGTGGAGAATGCTGAGAATTTCTATTTATGAGATGGAAAAGGATGCTGACAAGAGAAACAAGAGTCAAGACATAATAAAAGTAATGTTTTGCGGGATCTAAACGAAAACTAGAGCATATAGACTGCCAGTTGATAGTTTTGTTTAGTAATGGTTGGTTAGAACTGGTCGCTATTATGGATGAGTTTGGTATAAATTATCAGAGGAATTATTAAAAAAAATAATTGTTTTCTCTAATTATATGTAAAAGGATATAATTTATATAAAAAATATAAGTTTTCATTATTAAAAGAATATATATATTTTTTTCCATCTTGATTTTTTTTATTGACTTGACAAGATTTATAAAAATATTTATACTATGAATTATCATTTTGATTCTAATAATTGAAATAATACTTAAATAATTAATTTAAAAATAAAAAAATAAATTCTTACAAATAAGTTTTCCATTCCAACCTACAGCAATTAATCTTACGACCTTTCTTTATAATTATAGTGGTTGAACTCTTGGTAGTTAATGAAAATATACAACATCTTACTTTTATTACTGCCTAATATAATTCCATGAAGCTGCTTTAGGGATCAGAAGCAGGTGATGAAATTCCAAGCCATGGAACTCAATATTTCTTTCTCGGTAACTAGTACTTGTGCATTTCACTCGTAAAATCTCTAAATTTCCCAGTGATTAAAATTTCTTCCCAAAATATACATAGAGCACATTCTTGTGGGTTATTTAATGGAGCATTTTATCGAAGTGTTTCTGTTTTCTTCTGTTCCACTTGTGAATGCACAAAATATATAAATGCAGTACATAATTTTACACTATGGCTTCCTCGAGCTCTTTTGCTGTGAATTCTATTATTTAACGATATCCTCTAAATATTTTTCAGCTGGACCGAAAGTTTTCAAAGAATAAAGTGGTGTTTTTCTTAAGACAGTTAATCGTGCTGTAATGAATAAACTTGGTGATCGACTACAGAAATTAAGCACCAAACGACGCTGGCTGGGTCCTGGCAGACGGAAAAGCAATCCAGAACATATGGTCGATGGAACAACATGCAGAAAGATCAGTGAGATACATGCTGTAGTTCCCTATCAGGGCCGTGGCAGAGCAGAACATGAAGTTGATCTGGATCCAGAGTCATTGAGAATGTGGAATCAACTGGTGAAAATATATACTGGAGTGGATGAAGAAAAAGAAGACGGGGAAAGGGAGCAATGGTGGCGAATAGAACTATTAACTTTCCAAGGACGAATAGATTTATTTATTTCTCTGTTGCATCAGGTTCTAGGTACTTTCATACTAGCTACCATTACTTTACATCATTCAAAACTTGGATGGATAAGTTTAGAATTGTCTGAGGCTTCTTTCTTTTTTGGAAAAATCAGTCTTCGAAAAGATTATACATCATACCATACGTTTACTTTCCAAGTTTTTCTAGCAGAGTCATCCTTTCATTTTATTTGGTGAATTCAAAAGTTCTTCATCTAATCTTAATATTTGTTTCCTTCTTAGTAGGTATATGACTATAATCTATTGAATTGGGAAGCTGATCCCTGATCAATGAATCCTGAATTTGATGAACAATCTGAGAATGCGCCGACTTCTGTCCACTCGACAATATTTTTAATCTTCCGTCCTGTTGTTCATTCATGTCGTTTACCGTAAACATCTAGAAGCTAAGCTAATAAATCAATGCTGTTTTTGCAATTTCTAAGAACAAAAATCGGAAAGAACTTTCAACTGATTAGTCATATCTTATGTTGCTGTATTAAATTTAGACAGATACATTTAACTGTACGATTGAAGGACACATTGCATGTTTCTCGGGTGATAGGAGGTTCAAACAGTGGAATGGTTCTGTTGTGGGTCGGTGGTAGTTCTCCTTACCCAAAATGTTGCAGACCATCTGTCGAGGTGAATAAATTTCTTTGAATTTTTTATTTCATCATGGAATGTAGTTCATAGAAAGACAGCACGCAATTAATGAAAGGGACCTTGTAGCTCATTGCTATGGTTGACAGTGCTGCATACATGTCACTTGTTGCGAAGTTTCCTGTTCGGTCAACTAGTATTCAATGAGAGTCGATGACTGCAGATGGCCAAAGACCAGTTGAGAGCAGCATGGCATCCATTGGACCCACTTTTGATTCAGATGGCAACCAATATTTTGTCACAGAACCTGAACCAGATATAAATCAAGGGCCGAAAAGCCATATGCTTGCTTCAAGAAGAGGTGCAAAGACAAAATGGGATTATGAGATCAGAACCCGAACCAGATAGGAGCCGCATGCCTCAGACTTTACCAGTTGAAAAGTCTGTATGCTCGCCAGGTGAACCGGTGCAAAGACAGAGCGGGAAAGAAGGTAATAAAGAACAGAAGCCAGAATGGGAAAGCAGCTTCTAAGCGAAGAATAAAATTGTTAAAGACATGGTACTCAGTAGAAGGAAAAGGGGGAGTTTAGGAAAGATCTATTCTAGACCAAGAAGCAAGGATCAAATGGATTCCGTGGATTGGGAGGCAGTAAGACGAGCTGAAACTAGTGAAATTGCAAACATCATCGAACCACGTGGTCAGCAAACTATTATAGCAGGGAGACTCAAGGTATTGGAAGTTGCTACTTGCACTAGTTTTTTCTTGGCAGAATTTATCATCACTTGATTCAGTTATTTTTTTTTAATATAACAATAACCTCATCATTTTCACAGGGATTTCTAATTAGAGTTGTGAAGATGCATAAAAACATAGATCTGGAATGGTTACGATATGCTCCACCTGATGATGTGAAGGAAGTCCTGATATAGATATCTTTTACAAGATGCCCAATAAGTGATTCGGTATGAATTGCTTTCTCGTTAAGTTTTTCAAATCTCTTTACTACGTTGCCATCTACTTGTAGGGATTACCTGTTGGAGTTCACGGGATTGGGCTTGAAAAGCGTGGAATGTGTACGATTTCTGTCTCTTCAACATGTTGCTTTTCCAGTAAGTCACAAAATTAACACAACATTTTCTTGTCTCCAATGAAACTTGCCTGTAAACGCAAAAATCTCTTTCCTTCTTTGACAAGGTTGATATAAATGTTGCTCGGACAGTTGTTCGCTTAGGTTGCCCCCCCGCCCTGAAACCTCTCCCTGGAAGCCTTCAGTTCCACCTTATAGAAGAGTAAGTATCATGCGCCAACAATTAAGCTTTCCGGCTGATAATTTTTGGAGTCCAAGTGAAATAAAATGTTGTTTTGTTGCAGGTTCCCGATATTGGATAACATTCAGAAATACCTCTGCCCCATACTATGCGTGCTTGACCATAGAACACTGTAATCCTGATCACTCTTTCCATTTTAACTGTTTGTCTCGCAATTGTTTCTTCTCACATTTGTTTCATCATATTATCCAAGGCAGCTATGAGCTGCACTATCATATGATAACCTTTGGAAAGCCTAGTGAAACTTCTAGTTCATTTGGAAACAATTGTGTTGTTACAAATCCAATGTCAGTTACCTTTTTAGATGGCAACAGGACTACAGAATCTGGTCCAAACGGTCACACTTGCAAACCCATAGTTGAAGAGCCAAAATCACCACTACATGAACAAGATATTGAAGATTTTTTGTGGAATGAATGTATTGAAGATGAAGAAATCCCCACTATCAAACTCAATCATGAAGAGTTCAATCAAATGGGAAAAAGACTCCATACAGCAGTTATACGTCACAAGCTTTAGTTTCTGTGGGTGCTCCTCCATTGCCGGCACCTAAAATGAAGTGTGTGATCTCTTTGTGGACTGAACATCAAGTGTAAGTAGAGATTTCTGACTCATCTTCATAAATTAGTGAAATCTTTCTATGAATACAAGTATAAGAACAAATTGTTTAGATTTAATTATTATATATTTAATTGTTCTTTTACTCTAATCTACAGGCACGAACTTCCAGATAATCATGAGCTTCTGGTTTGGGTAAGTTATAGCTCCCTGTCACTTCTTTGTGATGTAATAAATTGTGTCTGCTTACTTAAACTCGATTTCTGACTGACTTGTCTGAACAGCTCGACAAAAAAGGATGATTCAGTACCCTTCCTACTCTCTATATGGCAAGCAGGTACACTTCTAATCAGATGAGATATAATTCTGAAACATATGTTAATGAATCCATCTAGTTCAACAATATATTTAAAAGTCGAAGAAAATCATGGATTTAATTCACACTTCTTGGTTCATTTTTACTAAATGATAATTCATCAAACCTGACTTAATGCCTCATGCCAGGTGAAACTCCAAATTCAAGTCAGCCACCTGTGAAATTGTGCAACTCACAAGGATCACAACTCTGTGATCAGAGAACATGTTTTGCTTGTGAAGGTATTTGAGAACAAAAGGCTGATATAGTTCGTGGAACAATTTTGGTTAAGTAAAAACTGTGTCGATGTGCATGTTCTTATCCTCAGAAAGTAGGAGATTATGTTATAAACTAAAGCAAAATAACACATGCGCAGATACCATGCAGGATAGCTATGAAAGGAAGCTTTCCACTCAACGGCACATATTTTCAAGTTAATGAGGTGAGTGGATCCAAAGAAAAAAAAAAGGAAAGACAGAGTTCCAGTTGCAGGAATTTGAGGCCATCAGCTAGCCTCTAATATATAAGAGGTTCGAGCATTAGAGATCGAAACAGGTTCTCGAAACGTCTTACAAAGAAATTCCACTGTGCACTAAGCAGGATGGAGAAGAACGGAAGGAAAAGAGGCGGTGCTGAAACAGATGACGCTAAAGCCATCACTCTAATGCCTGCCTTATAGCGTGAACCATTAATTTGTGTTGGTTCTCTGAGCCTAATCCTTGAACATGTTGTCTTTATGCAACATAAACTACAGTCACTAGTACTGCTAATCCGAAGTCTGTATTATCGGAGAAATCAAAATATTTTACCCCAATTCTCTACAATTCATGATCAAAATGATGGTGCTTCTGTCTTGAGAATGGTTTCAGCTTCCTAGATGCTTCCACATTGACCATTTTATCATCGAAGTTTTGTGGCTTAATTTAGTTGTTACTAACTGCGTTGGCTGAAGAATTTCATTGTCAGCACAAAGAAGTTACAATTAACCTACCTTATCCAATTCCGTACATGTATTTATATTCCTTGGACGTTTTTTTTCTAATGAACGGAGAAGTGTTTAACAATAGATGGAATTAACTCAAATTTTGTTTAATTAGATAACAAAAAATAAGTTAAGACTCAGGAAAAGGAGAAAAAAGGGATTTAAACGTTGATTATGGTTGATTTTGCAAGGATCAATAGCCCTACTGGATTGGATGGGCAGAGAGAGGAAGCTTAAAGGAGGCACAGAGCAATAATACTGCAAAACGTCGCGATGTGCATCAATTTAGCTTTCCAAACTCTTTTGAATGCAAGTTGGGTTTGTAAGCCAACTTAACAAAGTATTTGGAATCAAAAGATTCTTTAGCGACAAGATGATGCTGAATTACATCCAACTAGAAGGGTCTACAAATAGATTTTTTTTAAAAAAAATTTTTTGGATTATGACTTCTGTAAAACATCAGGTCGATCAGACCCATAATTCACTTACAGTGCCATCATTTATGCAATAGCATTCACATTCAGCTGCCATGGATCAAAACTGTTGCAAGACAAAGCTTCAGCTTTGTAAGGCCAACCAAAGACATACAGATATCAATCAATGCCAACCCATTTCCTAAATGCCTTGACATGCTCAAGCCTCTTGCTTTGAGCTTCTGTTCTTGCCTCTGATGCTTTTAAACTCCGATATAGATTCTTATGAAGCTTCAAGAACTCATCTTTGTACATCCACTTGTCGCAGTACATATTACGCTCTTTCATATAACCAATGACCTCCATTGCTCTCTCAAAATAACCTCCTCGGAGAAAGTTCAAATGCAAAACCTCATAGAGATCCCTACTCACCTCTAAGTCCTTGCTACCCATGTTCCTCTTGATATCCCCCCACAAGATAGTGATATCTCGATACATACCCAAAGAAGAAAACCCATCGATCAGATAAGAAAAAGTTTGCACTGTTGGTTGGATTTTCATGTGTTGCATTCTTTTATACGTCTTCAATGCATCCTCCATCATTTTGGCCTTGCAAAAATAGTAAATGGAAGAATTTAATTCATAAACCACGGAAGGAATAGCCTTCTCTTCCTCTCTCATTTCTCGGACTAAAGAGTCTATCAGATCTGATTTACTAGACGAAGAAGATGCATTATTAGCTGCTTCAGAAAGACAAGCAGTGGCAACCATCTCATCAGACAAATTTACAACAAAACCAGCCTTCCTCATTTTTCGTAGCAGTGCCTTTGCTTCTTTGAACATCTCTCTACAATAATATGCTGTTAAGAGTGCCATATGCAGGGTAGAGCCTATGGGAGCCCCAGATGCATCCATGTCATCCAAGATGTCATGGGCCATTTCCAGCCAACCTAAGCGAATGCATGCATCAATCACATCAGAGCAAAAACTGGACTGGCCAAGCACATGGAAGTCCTGTTGCATGCAAAGTAAAAGCTTTGAAAAATCAGTAGTTCTCCCATGTCTTCTGTATCCATTTACAAGCTTTGCCAGGGCTCTGTTACTAAGGAGAAGCTTACCACTCCTAAACATTACAAGCTCTTGTTTATGTTTCACTCTGAGGATAGAATCCTTCTGCAACAACTCTGGCATAACCTGTATCTTCAAGCCAGTCTTGAGATTGTTAGATCCAATTGGAACAAGAAGACGCTTTTCTTGGTCCATCCTAAGTTTTTTATTGGGAACAGGCTCCTGGAATTTATGCATATCCAACAAAAGCTGTGCAGCAGAATCAATGTCATCGAATTTAAAGTGCAATTTCAACAAACTATCATAGAACTGACAATAATAACCAATAAAAGGAGCACCCACTTCATCAACATGATCCTTCAATTTCTTGATCTCATCCCTTTGACCATTCATTTCATGGATCTGGGAAAAAATAATGACCGAGTGTGCATCAGCAATAACACCCACCTTTGACATCAACTCAACTATTTCTTGGCCTTTAAGAGATGATTTGAACTTCACACAAGCATCAAGAACAAGGTTGAATATCATTGCATCAGGTTTTACCACTTTGGCACGAACACTTCCTTTTGCGCTTAAATGTAGAAAACAATCACACATCTGAACCAAGAAATTTGATGCTAGACATGCTCCAATCTCCGTCTTCACCATGTGTGAAACCACTGACCATAATATAGTTAGTGGGGGCATATTCTCCCTCTCTAGCATCACCCTTAGAATCATAGAGGCAGGAGCAGGCATCTGTGCTCTAGCTAAGGAGATTGAGAGCTTTGTCAGGACTGGAAACTGAAGCAAACCAGGCTTTTCTTTCAATATTAAGAAGACCAAATTACATGCTTTTTGCAACCAGTGGTGGTCTGATGAATAGGAAAGTCGAGAAATTAACATGTTCACCATGGAACCCGTTGGAAAGCCATATAGTTTCTTGTAGTCAATAAAAGTTACCCAAGCTTCATCTACTTGATGCCCCCGCAATGCAATTTCAAGCTTCCTCAAAAGAACAACATTAGAGGAACCTCTCCAACATATCCTCCCAGGCTGACTAACACTACCACTCGAAAAATGTTGGAGAGCTACAAGCTGATATTCTCCAAAGACCCTTTTGGAAAAAACTTCTCCACTGTGATCTGCAATCAAGGCAGTCTTCTGAATAGCTGAAGGCACAAAGACTCCAAGTGCATAGCTCAATGGGATTTTTCTTGAAAAAATTAGTGCCATCTATATTACCATTTGAGCTGCAATGCGTCTCACATCAAAATAGTTCCAGTAAAAAAGAAGAAGCCCTCAAGCCAGAAAGAACTGCTCAAACGGATAATCTGTTTCAAGAACTTGACTAAATTAGACACATATTGTATAGTCACAAATTCAAAAATACAAAAAACAGCTAATACGATCATCAGATAAAAAAACAAAAGTCCTAGTAAACTAACATCTAGGCAATAAAATTGAAAATTCAGATAAAACATAGAAGTTGTTGATGAGTAAAGCTGGTTAAGTTGAAGTTCAACAATTCAATTAAATCCAGTAAATCATCAAAGAAAAGTGAACGAATGAAAAAGAAAATGTCCCAGAAAGTAACAAAGAAAAATACATAATTTCCGGGAAACATCACTAAACCAAGTTAAATATGTAAATAAATTTATCATCTTTGCTGATATTCGAGATGCAAGACATGTAATAAAAAAAGGAGAGATTGTGTTAGTTCAATGCACATGGAATGGGTAAAGAGAGGAAAAATGAAATACCAACCTCAAATATCGCCGAGCTCAAGTAAAGAAGTTACTTCCCGCCCTGTACCCACCGGAAATAGAACTCGGTTGAAGAGACGAGAGCATCAAATCAAAGTATTAAGGAGCATAATAGCCCATGAGATTTTTTATGAATGAGCTGGATATCTGTTTTCTGGTGGATTTATAAAGCCAGAGCCCATGACTAATGGCTTCCTTTTCCATCGAGAACAAAACAATATTTGTTTTCTTATTGCCAATTACATTAGATAATAATAATAATAATAATTCTGCTAGCAAGGTTACCGTGTAAAAAGACTTAAAATATTAATAGTCAGGTGTTCTGTATCATGCTACGGGATCATTTTTTAATAAAAAATATCATAAAAAATTTAACATTTTAAAAAATTGAATAACTATTGACTTAAGAGAATTTAATTATAATTCAAGGACTTATTAACTTTTAGTATTGATATCTGATCCAAAAAATTAGGGTAATGAAATAGGATTCATTAACCTTAAGTGCCGCTACTGAACCCAATAAAATTAAGTTTTTATGTAGGAGTCATTAGTATTGGGTTCTAACAACGAATCCAAGAGAATTGGATCCTTACGCATAACAAGGAATTTAATTTCCTTGGGTTTGGCTTAAGGTCTCAAGGCTAATGGATCTGTATTAGGACCCAATTATCTTGGTTTTATTGTCGAGACTCATTAGATGATAGATTCAAGTGCATTAGGTATTGACAAAGCACCCAAAAGCATTGGTTTTGGATGTGGGATCCAAGAGAATCGAGTCCTTATACGAGACTTATTAGCCTTGGATTATGGCATCAAAAACCATAGTTTTGGGTCGGACGGGGCTGCAATATTCAAGGGATTTAGGTCTTAACAATTGACCCAAGAGAATTGGATCCTGATGTTTGACCCATAAGAAGTAGATCCTTATCGAGAACACATAGTCTTGGATTAAGTGGGGCTACATGACTTAAGGGATTTAAATCTTTGCTCATGTCACATCCAAATAATTTGGGTGAGGCGTCTCTTTCTACCCCCAAGTTTGTTAGGTCTAGAAAGGGATGATTGACCCGAGTTAATAATGATAATAATAATAATAATTAATTATAACATTCATATCAATTCCATGTTTTTTTTATAATAATAATAATATTTATTTCAAATTTAATAATAATAATTAATATAATAATATTATTAAACTCATCTTACCCAACTTCTTATAGTTTTTAATCATTTCAAATCAAATATAAGGTTTTTCTTCAATAACAATAATATTTTTTAAATTTA